GTTCGAACTAAGTCCCGACAGAACTTTCAAGTTCCATATAGTTCAAATGAAGTTTCGACAGAACTTTCAATCCACATGAAGCAATCCGCACAAGTCTTTATTAGTAAGAAAATTTAAGGTACGTATATATGAAATGATAAGTGGCCCGAATTAATCATAATTCCTATATTTATGCAGTGCATCAACATTCTATGCCAATATTTTAGAGTAATTTCTTGGATTCGAACCCGTGTATTCGGCATGCGATTTACGATTGCTAGCCACTGCGCCACAAGTGTGTTGGATTACCATGCGGGCAAACAACAATTTAAAATTCATCAAGGTGTTGTGTTTCGTATTCAAGTCAGTCAGCTGGCACTGAATACTCCAACAGTAGGTGGGACAAGAACTAATTTTAATATATCTCAGATGACGTAGCGGTTCGTGCTGGGGCTCTCACGCAGAGACTGGGTTTAATTCTTCAAACAGCTCCAATTCGACTACTAATGCTGATAAATCAATACACATTAATACCTGCCTTTCGAAATAACTGGGGCCTCCCTTAGCTCAGTCGGTAAAGGCGCAGCTACAAAGCAAGACCATGCTGGAGGTGGCTGGGTTCAATTCCCGGTCCGTTCTAGGAATTTTTCGGGTTGGAAAATTTCTCGACTTCCCTGGGCATAGAATTATGATTGGACTTGCCACACAATTATACAAATGCAAAAATGGTACAGGCATCGAAAGCTCTCAATTAAAAACTGTGGAAGTTCATCTAGAACACTAAGTTGAGAGCACGCAATAAGCTAATATTGTGAAGAAGAAGAAGAAGTAGAAATAACTTTCATAAAAGTGCGAACTAAATATTGCATTGGTGTAGGGGACAAAAACCTTTTTTAGTTTATTTTCTAAAAGTTCCGTTCAAGTTCCGCCAGAAGCTGCTTAGAATGCTCTTCAATAACAGTACCGGAACTTTCAAGTTCTTATAACGACTTAAAAATGAGGCTGTTTAGAATTCTATGGACTACCTTCAACCAAGCTGCTTAAGCCACAAATAGCCTTTTATCAGAACTTTTGGTTACTTGGGTCTCCAGACATTCTGAAATGGGTTGTTGGATCTGCAATAGAGCTATCACTTTCTAACTCCCGGACTAAATCTGTCTAAAATGACCATAAATGCGACATTGTAGAGAGAGTTCTTCCATAATAACACGGCCGGCCAGTGGTGGTTAGAGGGAATATACACAATATATTAATAATTTCCTTGGGGCACTGGAATATTGCCGGGGGCACTGAGACAAGCTAGGGATGGCGAATATGACCGTGAACTCTCAATTAGACAATTACTGACCGAGATCTGAAAAAAATATGAAGCTTTATGTGTCGCACGACAGGTTTAAGTGTTAGCTAAGAATTGGACACTTCCCCGAGGGCACCGCAGCATATCCGGGCAGGTCAATATGACTGTGGGGTTTCAATAAGGTCATTACCGGCCGAGTTTTGAAAAATCCAAGAAGTTTGATATATCGCACGACGGGTTTTGGTTCTTGCCGAAAATTGGCCACTTCCCTGGGGGCACCGCAACATGCCCGAGGGAGCTAGTGTGACCGTTGACTGTCAATAAGGCCATTACCATGCGAGTTATTTAAATGATGAACTATGGTGTGTCGCACGACCAGTTTTGATTCTTGTTGAAAATTAACCACTTCCCCGAGGTGATCATTAGATTGATGCAAAATTTGAAATTTTCACTCCACAATACTTAAACGATTCCAAATCGGATCCTGACTAACCTATCAAAATTTGAACCCATTTGGTAAGAAACTGAGATGGCACAAACCATTTGAAGTTTGTATGGGAATTACTATGGTAAAACCAAGATTTTTGTTCATGTCTATCTTATAATTAACCATATCGGTCTGCTTCAAAAACTTTCAATTGTACTTGTAGGAAATTTTCCCAGCTACAACTTTGCTGAGGACTACTTTTTGATTAAATGCAAGGATCGAAAGTTATCAATAGTTCAATGCGTTGATGTCTTATGATCATGCTCAATCAACTGCTCAGCAGGCAACATTGGTGTTTCTGGGGCATTGAATAGGACACAAAAATCATGGCTACTATGTCACACTGCAAAATACAGTGTTGCCTACAGAGCAGCTGCTTGATCATGTCATAAGTTTACCAATCTCTTAAATAATTAATAACTTTTTCCTGTCTCGTTTTACATAGAAACGATCTTCAGCAAAGTTGTAGCTGAGAAAATTTTCTATAAGAATGGCTATCAAACTGTTTCGCAGCTTAATATGGAAAAAGACTAGAGGCAATGAACAAAAAGTTGAGATTTCCCATAGTAATTTACATGTAAACTTCAAATGACTTGTGCGAAGTCTGTTTCTTACCAAATGAGTTGTAACTTTGGGAGGCTAATCAGGACCCGATTTGAAACCATTTAAGCACTGTGGAGCGAAAAAGTCAAAATTTGCATCAGTCTAGTGACCATGTTATCTCATTCAATTCATTATCCGCCGAGTTAAGGAAACACCATGAAGTTTGATATGTTGCACGACGGGTTTTGGTTCTTGTCGAGAAGTGGCCACTTTCCGGGGAGACCGTAATATTTCTGAGGGCACCCGAACATGGCCGGGAGGGCTTGTATCACCGACGAACCGACATGCCACTAGAGCATTTCATTTGTCCAAAATTCGATTTTTCAAATGAGTGGTTCGATCTATCAAACGGGCGATCAGATCTGTCAAACCAGGTGAGACGCAAACCAAGTCAATATAAATTGTACGCGTGTAAGTGTCCTTGCTTACGATGTGACGCAATTGGATGAGTAGATGACGGTAGTGTTTAACGTATTTTAAATATGGCGTCTTGGGCAAAAATTTGAATGTGGCTTCTATGAGCTGTCACGTCGGTTCGTCGGTGCATGTATGTCCGTGAATTTCAATTAGGACATTATCGGCCGAGTTTTGTAAAATCATAAACGATGGGTTTTAATTCTTGTCGAGAATTGGCCACTTCCCCGGGGCACCATAACATGCCTGGGAGGGCTAATGTGACCGTGGACTCTCAATAAGGTAATTATCGGCCAAGATTTGTAAAATCATGAAGTTTGATAAGTCGCATGATGGGTTTTGGCTCTTGTTGAGAATTGGCCACTTCCCCGGGGGCACCAGAACATTCCCGGGAGGGCTGGTGTAATTTTCGACTCACATTAAGGCCATCACCGGCCAATATTTGTAAAATCATAAAGTTTGATATGTCACACGATAGGTTGTGGTTCTTGTTGAGAATTGGCCACTTCCCGTGGGGGCACCGGAACTCTTCTTGAGTGCCCAATGTGATAGTGGACCGTCGGTATAGCTGCCATTGATCCAATTATATCATTTGAGAGAAAAAAACATGATGTTCATCGTGTGTATGCTTATTACAGAACAGTAAAGCCGAATGCCAACCAAAAGAGATTCCAACGGGAACCGTAATAACTCCGGAACCATGAATTTCAGATGGATTCAAAAACTTCGATAGATTCCCGACAAAATGCAATTTGTTGCGAAGAAAAAGATTGAGAAATTATGTTTTTAGAGCTATTTAAATTTTGAAATCAATGCAAATTTAAACGTCAGGCACGCAAATGTTAAAATTTGACACCGTTGTTGGGGACCTTAATACACATCGGGAAATAAATGGGGATCAGGAGGTTATGATCCACCATACAAACTTGGCCCTCCCTAATGTGTGTACACATGATTACCTGAAACATAAAAACAGATTTACAATGAATCGGCTTGAAAAAGACAAAGCCACCATGGGGCTCGCGACACATAGATTGAAAAACGCTGTTATAGAGACTATCAGTCTTTGACTGGATCGTATTGATAATTTGAACCTCTGTAATGGTCACAATCATGAACGCAGAAATGATACACACTCAGAGAGCCTTCAATGAAGAACTGTAAATGTGATCAATGAACACCAAGGGGCAACTGAACTTTGTATAAGGTCCTAGGTAATTTCGATAACCCTTTGTCTGTACCTCTCAAATAAAACTAAGTTCATTGCGAAAATCCTTTAAAACAGGTTTTCAATAAAATTCGAAGTATGTCTCAACTAAGAGGCGGCATATCAAGAAGACTTCAGCATGCAAAAATGTCAGAGAAAAAATCGTTTTGATGAATAATCAAGATTGCAAAAATTGCCTGGGGTCATTTTGACCCCAAGATACAGGCAAAGGGTTAATAACTTAGCTACAAAACCGTGTTTGTCAGTGTTCACTCGGCTGTCGACAGAAGCAGACCACCCTCAATGTGTGTCACGCGATCGTCTGTGTCGGCAGCAACCATTGTGTGGTCCTTCTCATTGTTCTTCATCAGCAGTTCTTTCGGTCGATGCGACGTCGACTTTGGAAACGTTTGCGTCCATTGCTGCAATGGAAGCGCTCTGACCCCCGTAGGCGAATCTGCCATACAATGAAACCACTGGAAGCGGCTCCCGTTCTGGTGGAGGAGGCTTATTGGATAGCGGAAGATCAAATGTTTATTGTGTTGTACCTTTTGACTATAGTTTTAAGATGTATTGTATAGTGAACAAGAATCCTCGGCTCTGTAAAGTTAATTCGGTTGAGCCTTTTCAAATAAATAATAAAAAAAAAAAACGTTTTTGTCTTATTAGATGGTAGAAAATAGTGGGGATTGAAAGACCAAATCGAAGAAGAAGATCTGTCATTTCTACTTGAAACCTTATGAATTGTGCGGCTTAAGTTGCGCACATATAACATAAATTACAAACTATCGATCGATGTATATGAAATTAATTGTTATGTCACACGTGTCCAAGAAGTAAGCTACCATCATGGTTTACTAATCATTGGGTATTATGAGAACGTTTCTGTTTTTTTCTCGAACCGCTTCATATATAATAACGAAAATCAACGCACTTGATCAAACGGATCGATCGTTTCTCCATAAACGGGAACAGCCCACGAAGAAAGGTCCGCAAAATAAGTAGGTACTTACTCAAACCAGTTGCGTTGGACATGATGGTCTGCTGCACAGTCTTTATCCAGTTGAGAAAATCCGTCACGAAGTACATTCACCGCATGCACCACAGGAAAATTACACGTTGTTGTCTCCGGAGCCGTACGATCCGAACTGAGGGCCGAGGTTTTCACTTTCAGTCACGAAACACTCTCCCAGCAAGACTCGAGACTGACTTATCATTCACTTTGAATCCGTTAGCACAGAGATCCCTTCTTTATCACATTTATTGCACTCGTTTTTTACTCGGGGCCCGCGTGCTGCTTAAGCTTCCAGAATTAGCAGGGATTTTCGCATTCTTCAAACACTTCACAAGAAATCGCACTTCTCACTGTCGGCGTAGTGATAACACGTTGGGTGATGCACTTCTTTTGTTTGTTGTCGTCGTCTTTCTTCACCTCATTTTCAGCATTCTCATTTCTATTTTGATTTCACACTGTTGTCACTCGGGCTGGGCTGATAAAAAAAAGCAAAAAATACAACATTAATGGAACATTCACACTCCGTGAGTCCGACAAGCAGCGTGCACTGTCGAAGCAGGAACTGCAATAAAGAGTTCGAAGGCCCACTTTGTTGTTCGCTTCGAAGGACGGCTCGTTAGCTACTCAGTCGATTGATCGCGACAAAGAGGATCGCTTCTCAGCGAGAGAAAAATTGCACGCAGTTTGTACTATCGCTATGGCGCTTTGTTTGCAATTGAGCTGAACTATCGCGTCGCACGGAGAGTAACGATCATTGACGATGTTGAGAGGTTTTTTTTCTTCGAATCAGCTGTGATCCTTTATTGTTCATGCTTCAATCGGTTCGTTGCAATTGATACCATCCCATGCGCCATAGTCATTAGGCGCCCAAAAGAATCTAATCTGTGAGTGCATCGTCTAAACCGTATTTGAATTGCAAACTACCGACGACGATAAACCGGTACCCATCTCACGATTCACCTCACGTCCCACCTGTCATCCGAATGATCAAGCACTAAGCACTGTCTGGCAGCACTCACAAACAAATCACTTGACAAACGCCCAAATACGATTCGGTCCCTAAAATGAGCAATTTTTCTACGATTTAAATTCAACCGATCTCCTCCAGCTCCACCTTTGGTCAATCGTCAAAGTGGTGATTAAACACTTTGGAGCCACCGGACGGCAGAATTCCGACTCAAGGTTACCTTGCGTCATTGCATGATTGTCAATTATTGGCAATCCGCTATACACGCTACGGCAGTTTCTTGTTCCCACTTGGTCGTGAGTTCTTCACCGAAGGTACTTCAAACTCACTGAATTATTAATTCCGCTAGCGCTCAGCACCTGCCCAGAGGCGTTCCGGTTCTCAGCAAAGCTATCGATTGGACCTCGCCATCCAGCAATTGGATAACTGTTATACGGTCAACACTTAGCTGTGTCGCCAATCAGTTATTTAAATTGAAATTACTTTTTCCCGTGCAGTTGGAAATAGCGTGTTTGACGACATGAAGCTATTATTTACTAGTTTATCATTGGCTTTCCCTTTTTTCCCGGTATTGAGGCGGAAAGTTGTCCGAGTAGCAAACAAATGATACAAAGCAATTCAAGTCTCGATGGTTTAGCTATTTGATGCGTAACCAATGGAACGAAACTAATCATCATCGATATTGTATAGGAGAGGGATGGAGATGGTGGATAACAAAAAAGTGGTTGAAGGTTTTCGTCAGACAAGCTCACAAGAAACTAGTTAAGATGCATGAGAAGGCAAATAGGTGCAAAAAAAAAAAAACTCAGCAAAGCAATTGCCAACATGAGTACTGAATATGACAAAAGCAAGTATGGCTTAACCAATTCGTTGCAATTTTTTTAGGAGCTTAAACAATTCTGATGTTCAATGTTTGTATTGGATAGAGTCGAGTTTGAGATTGTAATAATGGCAAATGAAAATAAATTTAAATTGATAATGAAAATTCTATTCAGTGCAACGTGGATAAATAAGTTTCCCAGAATTGACCCACAAGGAATCCTTGGTTGATCCATGATATGCTCTTACTAGACACGCACGGGCTGTGACGTTTTCCCGGTTGTCGATAGATAATTAACAGACTCACTCCATGGTACTAGACTGAATTGGAGAAATTTGAACTTAATGTCTAATCATAAAGTAAATTATTTAGTTCGTCATCCATTTATAGGCACCATTAAGTTGTGAAGTTCCTAATCAAATATCAAACCCATATTTCGTTACAATCAAAATTTTCTGGAATTATGCATACAAAATAAATCGCCGAAACTATTTTATACAAGCGACATATGCTACAAAATCAACCATGCTTTTGATCCATTGAATACATATAAAAATTCACCATTTTTCGAGCAAAAGTCCCATACTGTAGTAAAAGACACTCCAATAAAACATCTACAAACTCATTCAACTTTTCTAGATTAATAAATTTGAAATATTATCTAAATGGATTTGAGTCCATGCTACATGGAGTGATATCCGTAATATTCTTTAAAATTTGCTATTAGATATCAGGGCTGTGAAAGTGACCAAATAGTGACTTAAAGTTGTAAAAATAGTGACTGAAAAGTGACCTAAGAGAAGGCGCATCAAATAAATGTTTGATATTTTAGAGTTATTCAATTATTATTTCATAAACACTTATGTACGATATGAACCTTTAAAACAAAAGATTCAATAGAAAGTTAAAAACCAACCCCACGATATTAGTCACGGTGTCTACTAATTTAAAAAATCTGGAAAACCGGACATCCTTAGGAAAATTTTTGTTTCCTTAAAATACCTGGAAGTCTCAAAGAATGAAAAAAAATCTTACTAGGGATGTTTTAAAGAAAATAATGAATTTTAGAATACAGCCATTGAATTTTTCTCGTTAATTTCATTCACACTTTGAACTTTAAAGTTAAGTTAAGTTTTCTTTATTAGGGAGGCTTTCAGCCTGAGGCTTGTTCGCCTTCGCTGAACTTTGCAGATTCACAGTGGATTAATCTTCAGTAAGAAATTTTTTTAAAATTAATTTTTTAATTTTTTTTTTGGTTTCTGAAGACCACTTATTTTGTGAAGATCCCGATGTTTTTTCTAAATTTACAAAACTTTTATGCACCCTCAATTTTCATGGAATTAGAACGAAATAATTAATATAGTTCTATGATTACGGAATTTATTTAAAGTTCTCTAGACTGCCCTGAATTTATCAGTATTTTTTAAAGAACCAACAACATTACTGAAATTAATTAATTTGCCTTGAATGCTCGAAGATGTTCCTTAAGTATAATAACCATTATTAACACACGCTTTTCCATAAACTTATCTATCATTACCTGTAGTTCTCTAAATTTGTTTAATATTCCAGCAAATTTTCTGATATAGGGGAACTGGCTCTAATGTTGGCCTATGGATCTAAGATTGGGTCCATCGCTAAAAATCTGCTATTTATCAATTTTATCTAGATGAACGGTACTAATGGATATTTTTTGGTCGCTATTGAAAATTTAGACGATTTAGCTTAATTTATGTATGGCCCAAATTAATGGCATTTAGGCCGACATTACATCCATTCCCCCTATATGCATAATTCCCTGACGCTTCTGACGTTTATGGATCAATCATAGAATTCTTGGAATACCCTATAATTCCATGGAACTCCTTGTAAGTCGCTGCAAATTTGCTTAATCTAATGGGATTATTTTGAAGCTATCTGATCGTCCTCGAAGTACTCGGAACTTCGCTGAATATCATTAAACTATATAAAAATATCTAAATTTAGTTCTCTGGAATTTCTTGAAGATATCGCTGCTTGCTAAAAGTTCTTGTTTAATTAATGGAAATTCAAAATTAAATCAACTTAGCTAAATTTTCGCATTTGTTTGAGGTTCTTGAAATCTTCATGATATAACACCCTTAAAATACTCTCACGTTTTTCGGCAGAATCATTTTCCAAGAATTCTGCTGAAGTTTTCGGAAATTCACTGAGTTCCTCGAAACTTTTTTAAGGTTTCTAATATTTCCTTGAACTTATTTGAACTGACCTTTGATTCTCTAACTTGTCTTAGTTCTATTGAATATCACGATTCTGTTTGGAAATAAATAGAATTCCCGTAAACACCTTTAAATTTGCCTGAAATTTTCTAGACTTCTCTGAAGTTTCTGAAATATTTCTGAAGTTTTCATTAATTCTCGGAAGGTATCTGTACTTCCCTGAAATTTGCGAAACATCTTAAGGGTTCTCGATTTGTTTTTCAGCACATCATGGAACTATCTTGAATTTATCTTTATTTACGATTATAGATTTTAAATCTATCTAGCTTTTCTGAGGTGCTTAGAACTTCTTAAAAATTTGCACAATATCCCTAAAGTTCTCTAAATTTCTCAAGTTCGCTTGACACAGTTCCCTGAAATTCTAGGAACTTCATAAAAGTTCCTGCAAAGTGTCGGATGCTAAAATAATCGCTTTGAGGTTCTTACAGCTTCCAGTAAGTTTCCCATATTTTCAGCGTGTTAACTTCCCTTATGTTCCTGCAGTTTGTTTATAGAGCTTCACTGAAATTCTCAGCATTTCCTTTCATTCCTCAGAACTTCACCAAAGTTTCTAAAATTGTTGTAAAGTTAATGGGACTGCATTGAAGATCTCTAATCTTTCATAAAGTTCATTACGAATTTGAAATAAATCATTTGTTTTTTTTACTTAATTCTGGCACTTTGAATTTTTTCAATATTTTGAACTTGTACATGGAATACGAAACTTCAAGACATTACTTACTTGGAAAACTCAGGTAATTTTATCCAGAAAAATAAGTAGACATCCTGTATATAAAGAAAGACGATTAAACGTCACAGCGCAAAGAATAATCAAGCTTGAAATAAATTCACGCTAAAAAAGTGGAAAATAGTGACTTATTACAAGAAAATGTTACTTTAGTGGCTTGGCCTTAAAAAAGAGACTTTTTAGTGACTTTGTCTAGAATCTTATTAAAATTTCAAGGCCCGTGATTGTTTTCAACCCGGGATATTGATTTGATTTGTTTTTGTTTTTTCATATTCCAAGGTAAAACCTTATGCTGTTTTCAAGTCCAAGATCCGATAAATTTAAAATGACTCGCAACCTTGATTTTTGTTTTAAGACTGGGGTTTATTTAAAATTTTATGAGTACAAAACCTCGCTAATCTTTCTGGTTTAGACTATTCAAAGCATTAATAAATCCGGAATTCGTCGAAACTCAAATGATCCATATCATATTTTTTAAATCTTGAATTTTAAGACAAAGCTAAGTCCGCAAACTTCAAATTTTGTTCCAAGTACGAAACCTGGTGAGGTGGCCAAAACTGGACTAAACCGTATGTGAAGATAGTTGCGAAGGATTTACAAAAGTACAAAACCTTGAAACTGAAATACGCCCAGAACCTTGGAGAAATGGTTCATGTCTTTGATCTTTTATTATTATAATTATTATTATTATTATTATTATGGT